TCCGAGGAGAGCCCCAGGGTGGGGTTTTATTTCCAGGGCGGTCCTGGATAGAGGCCAGATTCTCCCTCAGTCTGCTGCAACAGCAGTGTAGGGACATTTCAAGAGGACCTACATCTCCGCTTCTGTGCTGACCTGATCAAGGCATGCAATATCATCAAAAGGCCAGATATTTGAGTTGTTTTTCATGTTCACAACGATTATTGACCTTCCTGGTTGTGAGAAGGCCTGGATAATTTATATGGCCAGGAGCTAGAGCCGTTTCCTGTAGATATGTATTATTAAAATATTTTGCTTGGAAAATTCCTTGAGATGAATCATGGTGCAACAGGAATGTACCTTTGGTTTCTTCTCTGTTTTTGCATCTTTTGTTGACCACATCGCTTGATAAGTGTTACCGTGGCTATGCCAATTTAATTTACATCTTGTTCTCAATATTTCAGTTGTTTTAACCGGTTGTTGCTTATCATATAAAAATGAGTCGTGTAGAGCATTTTGCAGATTAAACAGTGACTGCCCGCCTGCCAATCTTTGTAATGTCATGTGGCCCTTAAGTGCGCCAAGCTTGGTGCAAGTCCAGTGATTGCCTAACGGCCACGTGGTGGAGAATGGCGGTTGCTGTTGTGTTCTGTAAGTAGCAATGTCGGGGTTGGCTCACTGCACTATGAAATCGACGATCTGGGTTTGATTAATAGTTATAGATAACATCGGTGGCAAGAAGTGGCGCTAGGGGAAGACAAAACGTGACTGGTGTAACCGGGCCTGTTACTGTCTCTCTTGCCGTGCTATGAACCTGGCAACGTGACATCAATTCCCAATCGCGGCTAACATCCGTAGCAAATCTGAACTAGTCTTGTGCCTCCCCTAGGTCCACTCAACCGTAAATCATTACCAGGTGTAGTGTGTGTGTGTGTGACCATCAACATTGGTCAGGCGTGGCATTGGCCACCTCGCACGAGAGTTGCTCGCGAAGGAGCATTTCCCCCAGCATCTTGAAAAGGTTCTACGGCAGATATTTGATTTTTGTGTTTAACTTGGGGTCTAATTGTCTGAAGATTGCCTGTAACACTAAAGACACTTGGGTAGTTCATCTGGACACTGTAATACATGAGTGAACTACTCGTTCCCTGGAAAGTTTAGATTATTCAGCCAGATGTTCTCAAATATTTCCCAGGATAAGAACAAAAAACAATTGGTCTGCACCCAGAGTTTTTTTTTTTTATTGTGGAATCTTCTGTAACAAAACGTAAAAAGCCAGATATTTTAAACCCACCTCCCAAGATGGCACGCTTACTCATAATTCCAACGTGTCATCCGCTAAACATAGCCAAGAGGGCCTTAAACATTGACCTGCAAAACGAGGGCTTAAATTCGACCACATTTTTATGCCCCGACATCTTTGGAGAAACTCGGCGTTTGTCAGCGTAATTGAATTGGTTATAACGTGTTAAAATGTGTGGCGGTTATGGGCTTTAAGGGGCGGGGAAGGGGTTGGGGGATTGTGGAGTGTTTGTAAGGGGAAAGGGGGAGGAGCAGAGACAAGTGCTGAGTGGATTTTGTGAAGGGGGGGGGGGGGGATTGTCTGGCGTGAGGAGGAGAACCGTGCAATTACATGCGGCAATTTGAGGTGGAATTGTTGCTTTATAATTGCTGGTGCGGAAAGAAAAGGTAGCGCTCAGTGCTGGGCTGATGATAATACGAATTGGCAGGAAAAAAGCAAGAAGCTTTGAACCAGACTGACAGAGACTTCAATAAAGAGAATAGAAGAAAAACAATGCAAGTGGTGAAGAACCTCTTAACGGTATGGAGCAAACCAATTTTCTTTGTTTTGCAGCCTTTTATTTTATTCTTTCGTGACATTAACCTTTGGATTCTGCTTTTACTGTTCATCATGAACTGTTATTTTTTTTAAGTGCACAACAAATACCCCGAGTGGTGCAGCATTACCCGTGCATGATTCCGTATTCGCGCAAAAACTATTTTTACATGTGTCACACGACGGGAAGGAGAGTTGAGTCGGTTGCGTGATAGGGCAGACAGGAAGCAAGTGGAGCGGGAAGAGGAAGGGATTCTGGGACGGAAGTCACCTGAGATGGACAAAGATGGCACGGCTCAAGATGAGCAGAAGGAAGAGAGAAGGAGCGCCAGGGCAGGAAGGGAAGGAGGTGGAGAAGGAATGACCAGGCCAAGTTGTCCGGGATGAGAGGTGGTTGATGATGTGAGGGCAGGGAAAAGAAAGGAGAGATGGAAGGAGGGAGCAGAAGTGAGCTGCATTGAGTAGCGGCGTCTATTTTCACGGGGAACCAGGAGATGGAAGGGATTTAGAGCAGGTGTGGTCACGTGACTTACGGGAGGCTTGAGCTGATTTGGCATGGGTTGGTGGTGATGGGTAGTGATCGGCCGAAGGTTTTCTGAAGCAGATTAACCGGACCAAATATTTGTTCCGTTTGAAACACGTGATTTGTAATAAAAAAAATTCCAAGAATAACAATGTTGTATAACTGTTTTTAGATTATTCATTTGTGCCTAAGGGGAAATCCACGAGTTATTAATTCATGTCAAAATCTCAGGTGCGCAGTTTTAATCCGCAAATTGGATAAACCGCACGCCGATAATCGAGAGTCTACTTCATACCATCGAGAACGCGGTCTACGAAACTGTGTTAGCATCTTGCTTCGATAGCCCCTCTGGCCTCAGAATCCCCGACGATCCGATCATTTTCATATCCAGAGGGCGGCGCCTTCAAATTCCCACAACACGCTGTCTCTTTTGGTCCATTGATTGGCTCCCCAGGATCACAAACCTCTGCTGACGGGACGGCATTTGGATCCTAGGCGTTCAACAAAAAGCTGTTCACTCTCTCCAGCGCGCGCAGCCTTCTCCAGCGTGCATGGTGACCTCTCACCTTTGTTTCCATTGGCTCTGGAACTTGCTTCTCCACGCGCTTGCGTAACACAATGCAGCTGCACATCAGTCCCTTATGCACATTATCCCAACAACAACATTATCATCATCATGACCAACTTTATTATCACCGTCACATTTCAAACCATGTACTCAATCACAATGCTCGGGCTCTCCCTGGCTCTCATGCCCTGGTGTGCGTGTGAAGGTCATCGTTTTCTCCTGTTTGTTATTTTAAGTATTTCATGTTTACTCTTTGGTTCTGTCGGTAAAGTCACGTAGGTAAAAAAATTAAAAAATATCACGACGTTTCGATCGCAACACAAGCGGTCGTCCTCAGGCGGAACATTTGTATTTCATATTTTTTTTTCTTGCTTGCCCTGGTGATGTAACCATTTTCCTGGTGTTGTGTTACGTAAGGCGCAAGTGTGTAATATATGCAAATCCTTATCTTTATGCATAGCGCAGTGTATACATTTGGCGTGCACATGTAAATGTCAACAAATGTCAGCGCTTTGCTGCTCCAATGAGCATTGAGATGGTGCTCATCAACTGTTTACAGCCCTGAGCCAGTGGTGGAAATGTCATCTTCCTATGGCAGGCTGGGTCTATCCATAGGACAGACGCTGTTGACTTATCGACAAAAGTGGTCCCCATTTTACTTACCCCCCAACTAGGATTTGAACTCCTAGTTCAATCCGCTCCCTCTACCACTGGGACACCTGGGCAAATTCATGTAGGTTTCGTCCATAGCCTTGTTTGCTGTATATGATGGCTGCTGAACAAACTGTACAAACATTTTTAGATGCGTGAATATTCATATTCTTAGGTTTTTTTCGGTAAAGTCACGTAGGTAAAAAAAAAAGTAAAATAAAAATCACGACGTTTCGGAGGCAACACAAGCTTTTTTTTTTTACTTGATACAGCTGTCGGGCTGTGACGGTTCCACCTGAAGACGGAAGCTTGTGTTGCCTCCGAAACGTCGTGATTTTTATTTTTATTTTACTTTTATTAATTAAAATTTAAATTTTGTTTTACCTACGTGACTTTACCGAAAAAACTTAGGAATATGAATCCTTGCAGTCACGAAAGCTTCAAATCTAGAATGCGTAAATATACTTGCGCCTCCGTAGAAATGTGGACATACTATCCACTCGCTTTTGAGTCATCATTTTACGTAAGATCCAAATATATATCACTTGAGATGGGAGGCTGACATTGACTTTGACCTAAAATAATGAAACATCACATATATACCTGTGTGTGTTATTGTCAGTTTAAAGTATTACAAGGAAACTCAACTTGATACAAAAACACAAAAAACACCTAAAATTAAACGAAATAGATTAAAAGTATGATTGGAAATAATCACGGGGACGCGTCCTGATCCGCTGCGACTGATGACTGCCCATGCATATTCCGAACACCACCTCAGCCCTGTCTGCCACGCACAGATTATATTCGTGTTATCGCGTTGATTGCTGTCCGTTGTCTGTCGACAGCTGGCAGGAGGGCAATTTCCTTAGATTAGCATCAACACCGCGAAACCGTGTGCTATTCCCAAGGCCCGGGGCGGTCGGAGGAGGGGAAATAGAATAAGCATTCATAAGCTGCTCAGTCGAATTATTTTGCTTAGATTTTTCAAACATTTATATACAGCACAGCGTGCGAATTTTTTTCTTGCTTTTTTGCCCGTGATAATTTCCGCACTTGTGTAAATGAACTGGTTCATTCAAAGCCAACGCTTCGTTGCCACGGGAAACTAGAAAGTTGGACACCGTTCCAGAAGCGGACCGCCACCTTCACTTCCTCCTAACCGGTCAACGCGAAGCTTGTTGTGTTTTTTTTTACACTGCACACCAACGCGTTGAATGTGGAACAAAACATTAGGAAGTGATTCCACAATGATGCGCCATTGTTAGCATACATCAGCGAAGAGCATTATCATTCGTTGAGTGCCATCCAGTTCCTAATTGTGCCGTTTAATTCTGTAATTGCTGTTCTACGCTTCTGGCTGTGTTTGATGATGCCAGGTCTTAACGCAGTGTCTAGTTTTCGAAATGTGAGAAACTTTTTAATTGGTGTCTTATGCCACTCAGCGAAAAGGCAGAATTCACTGAACTGCATCCTGCACGTAAAGGCGAAGCCTCGCAACTGCTCGCTACCGGAAGTGCCCCCAGGAGAGGGAGATCACGAGAACCTTCTGGAGGGTATTTTTGGCCTACTCTTCCACGCTTGCCAATACATCGTGGAAGAGGATGGAGGTACCCATACTGTAGTCCATCACATGCTACTTGTTGATCGATGAACTGTAGTGAATCATTTAGCGGTGGGGGAATTAACAAAAGTTTGAACTGATGTACTGAGAGATCAAATCGAACCGGTGAACTCTGAATTTGAAGTCCAGTGTGGTAACCCTCAAACCACAGCAGGCATATACCCCCAAACACAACGATAATGTAATATGTTAATTAAACACACAAGTGTTTGTTTAACCACCAAACAAATATATAAACGTCATTTACGTCTGTTGGCACCCATACTATTATTTACCAAGATTTGTTTAAGCAGGCAAATCATTGGTCAAGGACCAAATTCAATTTCGCTGTTCAATCTGCAAATACCAAGAATGTTTATCTGGCAAGTGTTTATCGTTTGTTATCTCAATATGTTGTAATGATTTTCCAAAAAAAAGACATACAAATTAAATTGGGTTTTGTTGCAGATTGAACTGCTTGGGAAGCAGAAGGGTGGGACAGTGGTTAACACTTGTGCCTCAAAGCAAGGAGGACCTAAGTTTGATTCTCAACTTGGGTGTTTTTCTGTATGGAGGCTCGTATGCTCTCACCCTGTTCTGCATGGGTCTCCTCCTGGTTATATAGCTACGAAAACATACAATGTAACGGCTATTGGCCAAACATACCAACGCTGAAAATTATCTGAATATTACTGAGTTGGGATTCCACATGAAAGCGTAGCCTACGACCGTGAAAAGTTTTTAGATCCCCCCTGAATATTGAGCCTTGAAACTCAGTGAGATGATAATTGTTTTTTTACCCTTCTATCTGGGAACAAAACTGACACCTTTTTTACAAGGAGTCATGTTTGCATAGACCACAATATCTGCAGTCATAATGCAAACAAAAAACATAACTCTGATAATATATGCACTGTCCTTGAAGTTGATTGGTCCACACCCGAGACAGCTTTCCTTAGAGCCTAGTCTCACATGGGTTGGACCAGATGACGCCTTTTGGCGCACAACTCAAAGACAATGCACCATCAGAGTATGAGAGCTCGGGGTAAGCATTTACACCATTGGAACCTCATTTGCCAGTAAAAAATATGATAATTGGTTTTTTACCCTTCTATCTGGAAACAAAACTGACACCTTTTTTACAAGGAGCCATGTTTGCATAGACCACAATATCTGCAGTCATAATGCAAACAAAAAACATAACTCTGATAATATATGCACTGTCCTTGAAGTTGATTGGTCCACACCCGAGACAGCTTTCCTTAGAGCCTAGTCTCACATGGGTTGGACCAGATGACGCCTTTTGGCGCACAACTCAAAGACAATGCACCATCAGAGTATGAGAGCTCGGGGTAAGCATTTACACCATTGGAACCTCATTTGCCAGTAAAAAATATGATAATTGGTTTTTTACCCTTCTATCTGGAAACAAAACTGACACCTCTTTTACAAGGAGCCATGTTTGCATAGACCACAATATCTGCAGTCATAATGCAAACAAAAAACATAACTCTGATAATATATGCACTGTCCTTGAAGTTGATTGGTCCACACCCGAGACAGCTTTCCTTAGAGCCTAGTCTCACATGGGTTGGATCAGATGACGCCAAAAGGCACACTAAAGAAGGTGTCAGTTTTGTTGCCAGATAGAAAGGTAAAAAACCAATTATCATATTTTTTACTGGCAAATGAGGTTCCACTCGGTGAGATGTTTCTGGGTTAACATGCATAATAATACTAATAATAAGTAACAACAACATTCAAACTGCAATTAAAAATTATATGGAAATATGTATTGGGCACCGGGATGACTTTACACTTGCAGTTCTACAAAGCAGTGCTATGGTAATTGTAATGTGAAGTTAAATAATTGGAAATTCAACGGAAATTTATTGTGCAAATGAAAACAGTGCACATGGAGGTGGCTGGGTGGCTCAGAGGTCAGAGGGCGGAGGTGGCACTGCTTGGAGCATAATACGTTGATGGTCACAGTCCTGGTCACCAATGATGGCTGTACAAAAACAAACAAACCAATTATCACTTTTAATTTTGGTTCTACGCTTAAATTGACTGAACACCGTAGCAGAGCCTGGTGCGAAAGCCCCCTACCTACCCTGCTCGTGTGTGGATCGGAGGTCTCAGAAGCACTGTTTTGTTCTCTCTGTTTTTGCGTGCCGGTCTGTAAAACCCGTGAATGGTGCTGCCCTTTGGAGAGTTCCGAATGCGTTTTGTGTTCGTCTCGTGACAAGCCACCAACAACACAATTAGGTAATAAAGTTGGGGGAATAAAATACTGGGGTTAAAGCAAGTTTCAACAAGAAGCATTGGCAAATACACCTTCAAGCGCGCACCTTGCTGGCTGCGATGATTCACCAGGCTGAGGTTTAACTACACAGACATCTGCTCAGTCTGGCATTCATCAGGGCTCCGTGCTGTGTGTAGCAAAACTGTATTCCAAGTTTCTGCTTCGCTCGCGACTGTGAGTAAGTACCACGAATCGTAGTAATGAAGCCTGACACTGCTTTGCATTTTGTATTAAAAACTCGATCCCTGCCGCCGTGATAACGTTAAATGTAAAAACATCACTTGTGGAAATAACGCGCGCCGCTATTGTCGCTGTGGTGTGTACAAATTGTTTAATAACTGGTGGCAGAACGCGACGGCCGTGCAAGCGAAATCAATTTAACGTTTTACTTTCGAGGATGAAAGTCTCCTCCGCAGCAAAGTTTTCCACCTTTCGGTTGAATTAATTTTATTTTATTTTACACCTACGTGACTTTACCGAAGAGCATGAATAGATCACTCAGCATTGTGGCAACTGGCTGATAGTTTACCCACCTCCTCCCCCCCCCCCCCTATGATAAACGTACTTGCCTTCAGGCTATTTATTACACGTTACCCAACAAAACCTCCCCCCCTCCCTACCACACACATTTTTCCATTACCGGTTTTATTAAACGACAACGGCATGTCGGTTGGTAAATGTGGGTGACTTGAGTGCCGGAAAGGCTGGGCGAGGCTGGCGGGCAGAGTGCGTGGCAGGGAGCAGAGATCTCGGTGAGATCTGGCGATGACTGCAAAACAGAATGGTGTATACAAATAAGCATTCGCTTAAGGTGGTAATTCTGAGTGCCAGAAGGCAGGCGCGTTTAAACACACCGCGCAGTTTGTCACAAATCTGTTTGCATTTCGCTTTCAAAAGATGCCACGGGGTGTGTTGTTCATCTCCCGGGCGGAGAAATTAGGATATGTGCCCGCGAATATTTTTTTTTTATCGCCGGCACTTTACGGCCTAACGGGACAGCAATAACGCGCGCTGGAGTTACTTTACGATTTAATTATAGCGCGCCATGTGGCGTTGTCTCCCAGAAGGCAAGCCGCAAGTGACAAGGCCAACGGGGAAGGGAGGAAAGAGGTACAATTAGATATCTCTTTCCTGATGGAAAATGAAAATTATTTTGTATCGTATAATATTAAACCAGTGTGCGTGGATACAGCTCGCAGGTGTGCCCAAGGAGCCAAGTTCAGAGGGATGGGCTGATTTATCCTTATTGTTATTTTTACCAGCTGTGATTTATCCACTGCTGGATGAAGGCCCTCCCCGAAGTCGTCTGCGGTCTCGTGCTGCAGCAATCTGTCGAGCTCCTGCACAAGAGCTGACCTCATCGCTCCGTTTCTGCAGTGGACGTCATCTCGGGCATGTTCCCTCCTTCGGCTGCCACTCCATCATTCGGCTTGACCATTCGCAATCAACTCATCGAGCGGCGTGTCCCCTGCTCAGGCCCGCTTTATTTTTGTAAGTCGATAATTATAATACATCTCCAACTTGCACATGTTCTCTGATCTGTGTGCTTCTCTCTGTATCCACGTGTAATTCTAAATTATGCGTCCCTCCATAGTTGTTGGCGTACTTTCAATGGTTTTTCAAATTTTCTTCGTGAAATGTATTTGGCAACAACTGGTCTCCTTGCCTAACTCTCCTTCCGATTTGTGTTTTTGTTTCTTCACGCAGTCTCAATGTCCCATTCTTATAATTCGTTTCTATAAAAAAAGAAAACTACGATGGTTTTTATTTCTGAGAGCTGAAATGACGACATACATTTCCAAACGTGTTCTTATAGTCTGAAAATCGGAGGCATAATGGAATTTGACATGCATTAGTTTGTGTGTGCGTATGTTGTGTGATTACAATGCAGTCATACTGAGTGGCGTGGGACCTTTCTCCCCACTACTTTCAGAATCTTCGATAAGCCGCTTGACTGGATCGTGGGGCATTTTACACCGACTCGTAAGAAATCCCTTCTAGATTTGAAGTTTTCGTGACTGCAAGGATTCATACTCTTTGGTTTTTTCGGTAAAGTCACGTAGGTAAAAAATTTAAATAAATTAAATCACGACGTTTCGGGTGCAACACAAGCGTCCTGCTTCAGGTGGGGACAACTTAGCGAAAGCACACTGCTTAAAGAAGGACACTTTTGTTGCGCCAGAAACGTCGTGATTTATTTTATTTGATTTTCGTAAGAAATCCTAAACAAGGTCTGGTGAGATGAAGAAAATGGGACAGAAATGGCTACGGAGATGTCACCAGTGCAGGGCAGAGAAGTAAGGGAGTGGAGGGAGACCGGGGGTAGAGATGGGAGGATGCAGTTAAATGAGATGCGAGGTAGCGAATGTGACGAGAGGAACGGGCACAGAGTAGAAGCCCATGGAGAAAGAAAACCCGAGCAACTATCCTCACGCGGGAATGAAACAACTCATCATGGCCATCAATAACACTGCCTTCAAAATAAAAGGCAACCTTTTTTTCGGTCAATGGCTCTTCTCCACGACACACCGAGAGGTCATAGGCCTCTCTATTATTTCCAAGGCAGCATTATTGACGAGTGTCGTCGAGTGTTCTTCTTATCCGTCAAGGCAGCAGCATCATCAACTCGTTTGTCCAACGCAGAAATTGAACTTTGAAGAAGAACAAGAGATGGCTGTGCCGTGAGCTGCAGTGCTCTCTACGCACAAAAGCATGGATTGTGTCTCGTGTTAAAATAAGCCACCAAAACGTGTTTAATTAAATGATGCTGCCAACCCTATCCCCTGGTGTAAACCCCCATGTCTTAGTTGATGTTTTTGGTATACGCTGCATACATTTGCCTGCTGCGTAGTCAGCTCGTTATGCATTGGCCGTCGTGACTTCACTCCGTGTCAAGAGGTGTCGTTTTTGTGTCTTTGATGCTGCACGAAAAACCACGCCGTGTTCGCGTTGGAACCGCTTATGGCGAACGTGACGGGCATGTTGGAGCCTCGCGTGTGAATCACGCGTACACGCGAAACTTCCAAACCCATCGCGCTGCGAGGTGGCCAGTCGCTGGCAGTGCAGCGAGTGGATTTGTGAACACGTGTTGAATGCGATTTCCCTGCCGTCATAATAAGCAATCCACCGCTGTATGAATGCTTTCCCAAGCCTTCGCGATCGCTCACACTCCTGCGATGTAACAGTCCATCGAGCACACCTGCACAGGAGCCGGTGGACATCCTCCCGGGCAAGGTCTATCTGCCACTCTGTCATTGTGTCGAGAAGTTCGCACGGACGTACTCGGAGACGGAGGTAAGTTAAGGGCTTTCGCCAGGGTTTATTAAAGCTGTTACAATAACACACAGCAGGGTACACAACTCCCAGGGGCTAGGGGTCCTACTCTGAGTCCTGGTCCCTGCCGGCTAGCTCCGGTCTCTCTCTCTCGTGTCGGATCGGGGACTCTGCCGACTCCACCGAGCGGAGAGAGAAGCACCTCTACGGCTACCACCGGCTTCTCCCCAGACTCACTACTCGATCCCTCTCTCTACCCCTGGTTCCCTCTTCACCCTGCTTACTCTACCCGTTCCCACAGTGACCCCGCTTTCGTCACGGGGTATCCCTTAAGTACCCTAGGAGACGTGACGTCATTGCACTGAACGGGACACCTGACGTCACGTCCCCATTTTACTCCTCTACAATTGTACTCGATCACTGGCGAGCAACGCTGGCCAGCCGTGACGTGTCCGGCGCATGCCCACTGACTAATAAAATAAGTCAGATTTCGGAAGCTGAGCAGGTTTGAGCCTGGTTAGGAGCTGGGGGGTGACCACCAGGGTTGGTCGTAGAAGATTGCGGTGTTGAGTGTCACCTCCTCATGTGCGTGGTGGATTTATTCATTTTGTCCTTTCGTTCTCTGGGTCTGGGTCACTGTTTACGGGATTTGATGAAACTCGCATTTAACCTTACTCAAGTAGAATAAGACATCTGTTGCATGAGTTACACACAGATAATCTCGGCTTCGGTTGTGTAAAACAACACTTTTTGTTCCTGCAAATCATCACATGGCATTATTTATGAAGACACGGTTGCATTTGGTGCAATGTTAATGCTGTTTGTGACTGCTTTGCATCCCTGCAGCAAGCGACTAGGCATCATATTTGCGTGGTTTAATTACGGAAGTTTTCAGAGATACACGCATCGGCTTTTGTGAATCGATAATGGGATTGCCTACCGGCGCTGACGGTGATGGCCGGTGAATATTTGAAGAGGTTTTATTTGCTTAGACCCAAGCCGCTTGCATGAAGTACAATTCATCTGTTTGCTTTATTAGACCGAGGGCTACGCGGGGGGAAAAAAAACGCAATTGACTGCATTTGTGACATTTCGTCTCACGTGGATCAGTGCCTCCCGTCTGTTTGCCAATGTTTTTTAATTCTTCTCCCCCCCCCCCCCCTTCGTTTGTTTACATTGTATTTTGCCCCTCCCCCCCCTCACTTTGTGCACTGCGGTTCCAGGTGATTTGTAGCGAACGTCTGTTTAGAGTTCACGGCCACTGCCAAATCACGACCTCGAGCAGCGCCTGCCCGTGCAGGTTTGGCCGCTCCAGGGATAAGCAAACGAAGAAAAAGTCGCAGGGCGCTCAAACCTAAGCAGCCCAGGGGTGCCACCGGATTTATGAACAGAATAAATATAGTTCTAGATTTGAAGTTTTCGTGACTGTAAGGATTCATACTCTTTGGATTTTTCTGTTTAATTTTATTTTAGTTGTTTTCATTCTATTTTATTTTTTATTTATTTTTTCCCTACGTGACTTTACCGAAAACACCAAAGAGTAGAATAAATATAACAAGAGTGCCTCAAGTATCAGCTATGGATTCAAATATTTATACACATAACATGGTAATTAACATAAACAGGCCAATCAATATTTCTCATCTCTACGTTGCCCGCACCTCTCTTCTCTAAGCTTGCTACATTCTGTTTATTTTTTGTCTACATTTTAACTTATTTTTGTTATGGGTTTCAACTGGTAACTTCCCACTGCTGACCAAAGTCCCCCGCTATTTTCTTCCATTGCCTCCTTTGCTCAGCAGTTGTACCTCTGTGAAATTGTCTCTCTTCCATCTCTTCCTTTGACTTCCCCTGCTACGTTTGCCTTCTCTTGATATCCACTCTGGAGTTAAATTTGTTCATTTTTCATATTTCTCTTATCTCGCTACATCTCTGTTTTTTTTTCGAAACCTCTCTTGTCATCCTACGAGGATTTTCTAAATCGAAAGGAGGGGACCCCAAAAATAATGTGGCCTCGGGCCAGCAATGGACCAGCACCGCCACCACTGCTGCTGATGATGCTGTTGATGATGCTGCTGTTTCGATTTAAAGCTTTCGTGACTGCAGGGATTCATCTTCTTGGTTCTTTCGGTAAAGTCACGTAGAAGGGAAGTAATAAAATAATAAAAATATAACATAACAAAATAATTCTCACGACGTTTCGGCCACAACGCAAGCAGCCGTCTCCAGGTGGAGAACAAGTCTGTCGAGAAGGCAGAGTCATTATTTTGTTATGTTTTTTTTTTACTTCCCTTCTACGTGACTTTACCGAAAGAACCAAGAAGAAGCTGATGCTGCTGCTGCTGCCGATGCTCCTGAAAACAACACACAAAGACGCGTAAAAAAGCACTCAGCCCTTTGTGCACGATACAAAAACTCATCAGTAGATTGCCATCAAAATTAATTTGAGTAAATGTGACTGACTGACAGCGGCAGCAGTGGTACGGAGTTGAGACAACTGTAGACTAGTTGAGCCATTATTAGAATTCATATTATTTTCCAGCCTGCACTATTATTCTGTTCACAAATTGGATAATGCTGCTGCTCTTCTAAAAAAAAAAATCCAATCGGCTCGGGCCGTTGGGGTGAACTGGTGGGTTTGTCTCTCGTTGTCCGCCCGAAGCGTCTGCTTGCGCACGCTCGCTCGCTCGTCATCTTTACCACGATGTGACCTCGCAAGCGTCGCCGCAAAAGTGACGGCGGCGCGAACTCGCTCGCTTGAAGTGGATTTTAGTTCGTGTTGGCCTCGTGTCGTCGGTGATCACAAAAAAGCAGTTGCGCTGCAATTCGCTGCACATCGTGGGTTTGTGACGTCGAAAGAGACGCCAGGGATGTAAGCTGCCGTCGTGTCTGAGGCTGTACGTACGGTTTATCTACGTACCGACTGTCGCAGGATTTTTGGACACTGTTTTTCATTTGTATGTAAACACTACTAATTATGAATCCCGTTTGCAGTAAGTTTTAGCGTGGGTTTCACGTGAATAAGTTGAGTGTTTGTTCTTGTGAGTTTTGCACATTCTCTCCCTGCAATGTCCTTCAACTGCCGCCACTGTGGACAATCTTGGGCTGTGGATGTCCTTATAACAGAGCTGCTTAGCTCAATGGGGCCTAACCCGCAGAAATAATAAAGTCTGAGCATTTGATAGTAATTATATAATGATATATTGCAGTGGCTTCGTCAATCCACTGCTGGATGGAGGACGCCATGTGTCGATGGTCAGCGGAAGTTGGTGAAGGTGGCGCTCTGAACCGGACCTCCTGAGTTTAATTTCTTTCTGGCCACTGCCAACATCGGTGGTGAGTGACATCTGAACCGCTCCTACGCCCCTCGCTTAGCCAACATACCCTGGCCAGCGCGGTGAAGTTGTTTGAATAAAAACGATTGCATTTTATGAAGTGTTTGCAAAGCTGGTCATTGTTTACCACGCCGGTCAGTGCAGGGGGGGGGGGGGGGGTGACCCAAGTCTAATTTTGCATATCATTCGCCACTGATGTTCGCTATCACATGGAAGGAAAACTAATTCTGGTCACTGGGTTCTCAGCATCGTGTACGAACCACTGGCTCCTGTACTTAATACTCCTTGCGTGTGGTTTATATATGAGGCGATATGTTAAAATAAGTATGTGTCCTTGTCTGTGGTTGTCTCTGATGGACATAAGGGGCCGTCCATAAATGACGTCACGCACCTAGGGGGGGCTCAGATATTTGTGACGACGAGGGGGGGGGTTGACAAATGTGACGTCACATCAAAATGCGCAACTTTAAATAAATATAGACAACACGTTCTACTTAATTCAATAGACTTGTTAAAAAAATGTTTTCTCCTACAACATCAGAGTGCAGCGTCACATTAAATACGCACTACAATGACAATAGTTTAAAGCGATTTGAAGCATGTTTTATTTTTTGGGGGGGGCGGGGGCAGAGCTTTGTGACGTCATATTTGAGGGGGGGGGTCTGACTTTTTGTGACGCCGTGTGACGAAGGGGGAGGGGGGAGGTCAAAATTGTCCAAAATCGCGTGACGTCATTTATGGACGGCCCCTAAGTGTCGCATGCTTCGTGACATTGGTGCATGGCCACTTTGTTTGTGACGTCACGCGTATTATTGCGTGACGTAAATAAAATCAATAAAAACGCGCTCCCAATTGGAATGCAAACGAGGCACTCTTTGTGTCCGTGAGAGCATTTGTTTTCGATGGTGACAAACCCCAAAAGTGATACCGGATAATCCTTTAGGGTTTTGGGTTTTTATTCACAACAAGGCCCGCGGCTATTGTATTGCTGTCAGGAGAAGAAAAAGTCAATTCATCGCTATTATCTGATACAGTTTAATCAAGCCCTGTATACCTTTCACCCCCCCCCTCGCTCCTATTCCCCCCAAGGTCTTAAGTGTTAATTGTTGGAAGTCAGTAGACAAATGCTAATGGCTGCATGGCCTCCGTATATGCCGGGTTGCCTTTCACAATAATTAAGTTGCGTGTCACTCTGCCTCGCGTGTGGACGTGTCCTGTCGCGTGGCTCACATGAAAGGTGGCCGCGATGTTCGCCTTTTGTTGTTGTTGTGAGCGAGGGTGGCAGCAGCGAGGAGTTCGGTGGGAGTCGTGTGACCCCCACCCACCCCCCCCCCACAGGATAATCCTCTTTTTCAGAAGCTGTCGTGGGATATCTGTGAGTCTCCCTGAGACAAGGCATTTAAATGTATTTACACCATTGTAACCTCATTTGACAGTAAAAAATATGAAAATTGTTTTTTTACCCTTTTATCTGGCAACAAAACTGACACCTTTTTTTACAAGGAGTCATGTTTGCATAGACCACAATACCTGCAGTCATAATGCAAACAAAAAACATAACTCTGATAATGTATGCACTGTCCTTGAAGTTGATTGGTCCACACCCGAGACAGCTTTCCTTAGTCTCACATGGTGTTGGACCAGATGACGCCAAAAGGCGCACAACTCAAAGACAACGCACCATCAGAGTATGAGAGCTCGGGGTAAGCATTTACACCATTGGAACCTCATTTGCCAGTAAAAAATATGATAATTGTTTTTTACCCTTTTATGTGGCAACAAAACTGACACCTTTTTTTACAAGGAGTCATGTTTGCATAGACCACAATACCTGCAGTCATAATGCAAAAAAAAGTATCATTTAAATGTAGTTCACCCCTGTCCTGGGTATTGTGAGAGATCCTTTTTAAATCCTTTATATTAAGTTCACTTGCTTGCTTGCTTGCGCGCTTACGACCGTGCAAATCTTTCGGTCGTTTTTTAACCCACTTCCCGTGATCCAATCGAGCTGACATTTTGCACACAGTTTTTACGGGTTAATTTTTTCTCATAATGACATCTCCTGGAACTCTTGTATCTCAGAGGTGGCTACCCCAATGAACGTGTTGTACGGCCCTCTTGTCATTGCACTGAGGCCCTCCCCACGCCGTGGTGGATCATTTGACCACACTTCAACGCTCTGATCAATGAGGCTTGGTGAAGGCGGAGACCACGGATGTGTAAGCAATGGAAGCACAGTACAGCCATTGATTTTACACCCTCCCATCTGTCCGGTATTGTGAGATATTATGCTCCTTCACATGATATTTTCCCAATTAAATTTTTGCACCTTCAGTTATATCCACCCCCCCTCCCTCTTCGTGATATTATCAGATATCTCGTGATATTATCAGATGTACTTTTTTGGTTCTTTCGGTAAAGAAAATAAATGAAATAATAGAATACGACGTTTCGATCGCAACACAAGCAATCGTCATCAGGTACGAATTAATTTAATTTAGTTTTTTTCTACGTGACTTTACCGAAAGAACCAAGAAGTAATTCCTGCAGTCACAAAAGCTCCAACTCATTATCAGCTATATCGTGATATTATTCCCGAACGAAACACTCTCGTTGATTTCGTATAATTCGACGTTGGGGGCGACATATCTGCGTAACTTCCCCTCTTTCAGTACTTGCGAGATATGTATTCTTGTCGTAATAAATGCTACGCCCCCAGAATTCTCCTCTTTTTTTTATCAACCACGGAGGTGGCACAGCCCTCCGGGGCACCATGCGGCCCACGTCTGTGCTCGCCGCTGAACGGAGCCGTGATGAATCGCTCGCCGTGGCCGCGAATATAAATTATACGGTGCCCGTGCGGCGTTGCGCGGACGTGGCTCAAGCGCCTCTGTGTCGCGGGGCCCACGGATGGGCGCGCAGAACAGTTGGGCCTTTATAAAAAAAAAAGGCGACGCTCTTTTACCCCACGTGCAGCTCTGCCGGTGGGGAAGGGGAAGGAGGCGGGGGGAGGGGACTAATAAAAAAATATAATTAAAAAAATAACCAGGTGTTTTTTTTTTTTCATCGGTTACAGTGTGGGATGAGACAAAAGAGTCAGATTTGGTAGACAAAGTCCTCCGCATGGGTGGGGAAATCGAGGAGCGAAGTTCATGGGAACAGTGACTGTGGAGGTAGCGATATAAACGTGATTATGATCCCTAAAAATGTTTTAACCGTGCCAGCGGAATAAAATATTGGCTTAAATGCTACCTACTAATTCAACGCGTGGCGATTTCCAACCAAGCCCCTCGTGTTCGCGTTCTTCCGTGTTCCCTGCCCGTTGTACAATTTGGTAAAATATGCAAATGTGCCTTTAGGTCTGGAAGAGCTCTGCAATAAGTTGTAAAGTACAATGGGGCGTTTGAATTGCCAATTCCACGCAATGCCACATTGCGTCAAATCATGGCCATCAAATTGCATCTTTGGGCAATGGGCCGCTTGTGCATGAGTCCCTTTCATATGAAAAGCATGTTCTGTAATGGCAGCAGTAAAACAGACTGGGCCCATACCATTCAGCGTGATCGAGATCTAAAAGTAAGCGCCCTATTAAAAACGAATTCTTCAACAATGCAACGCAAGCTGACCGGAGCATTTTTTTTTTAAAAAGCTCCTTCCTTGTAAAAAAGGTGATAAAGGTGCAGCCCTGCAGTTGCTCTCTCACGCCATTGCTGGTGGAAGGGGCACCACTAGAGGGAGCTCTAGTGAGCCCCATCGAACAAGTCGAAATTTAACAAGGCTTTTTTTCCCACCCTACTCTTCAACACTGGCCAGGCGTCTGGGAAGAAGTGGGATTATACCCACACTTTACCCCACCCCACATGATCTGCTGATAGGCGGGGTAGAGGTGGTGGATTTAAGAAGCGTGCCGGAGTTGAATCGGCAACCACTGAATCGCAAGTCCCGTGCGCAAACTATTAGGCTACTGTGGCAGCATCTCTCATTCCTTGTAAAATAAAAGAAAAAAGCATTCACTGCTGTAACGGGGGGAAAAAATCACAGCGTCTCCGTGCCGTGTGTTTGATAACGTAAATAAATCGAATAAAACAAAGGCACAAAAAAAGTCTTCCTAATTTCAATTTAAATCTGCAACACGGCGCCAGAAAACTGATGAGATATAAAATTACACAGAAAGCAATTTCTGGTGCCTCGGTCTTCTGAGACTGTCATTAGCAGATCCTGCTGTTGTACAGTCTATAAAACAAATATCAGGCCCTCTGGAGTGGCAGTGTGGGAAGAGTGGGAGACGCACAGAGAGAGGGAACAAACCCAGCACCGTCTTCGCAAAGCGAGAGACGTAATCATCACCTTGAAGCAACGTTAGGCACATAGCCAGCCTTGAGCAAGACACTCGTGTTTTGGAGAGCAATTATCACCGGTGATTCGCCTGCCAATTGAATGTGTATAATCGAGTTTATTTTTGGGTTATATCCCGTAAATATAAATGTGTCGTTAAACCCGCCACCACCCGACAGCCAATTCGTAGTGTTTTCTCACGTCAATAAAATAACTATGCCAATTAAAGAGTCGGCCTGGTGAACAAAGTCGCTCAACGTGGACGGGAGGGAATCGATGAACGAATTTCACAGGAACAATAGCACAGTCGCCGTCGTGGTAGCGATAAAAGAGTGATACGGAGAAGACTGACCGCCATTGAGCGAGTGACCAGAGTGAGTGGTGGATCATCAATCAAGGTGATTGCTTGACGTCAATGCTACCCAGTAAAAATGAGATACACGTCACAGGCGCCAATTGAGCCAGAACGTGGACTTTGAATTTTGTCAAATAAATGAACACGGCTGTAGTTATTTGTTTATATAAGCTTTGCAATCACTGAAATGGCGACATTTGATTTTTGCACGCGCAGATTTGTGTGCGAGTGGCAGAAACCGGGTGGGAATACGAGGAATTCA